CAAATGTTTAGCCGGAACTGAGCGTTAAAGACAAAGGTAAATTCAGTAAATCGCTTCGGATTTCATAAAGAATTTATATCAATTTCCCAGAAAATTTTCCACCAAATAATGGTCGAGGTATAATAATGTACATCAAGCAAGAGCTGCAAGCAGTAGAGATAACTTTTAAATACGACTTTAAGGAATTCACATGTGCTAAGATTAATCTAATGAATAATGATAAACTTTTAGTAGGATGTATATACAAAAGTCCGTCATCAACAGAAGAGAATCATAGATTATTAAATGAACTATTATTGAAAATAAGTAACTTAGAAGAAAAATATACACATATACTTCTAACTGGAGATTTTAATTTTCCGTCTATAAATTGGGAAAGTTGGTCCGCCAAAGATAGTGTAAGTGAAAACTTTTTAGAATGTATAAGAGACTGCTTCTTCCAACAAATGGTAGATCAACCTACGAGATATCGCATATACCAGGAACCATCACTATTAGATTTAGTATTGGTAAATGATAAAGATTTTATTAACAATATAGAATATCAAGAGCCAGTAGGGCATAGTGATCACAACGTTTTTAGTTTTTGAGTATAAATGTTATATTAAACAAGAAGTATCTAAGTTGGAAAAGTTTAATTATTTTAAAGCAGACTTTGAAATGTTACGTCAAGATTTAAATGTTAATTGGGAAGAATTATTAGCAGACAAAAACACTGAAGAAAAGGTTAGTGCTTTTATGGATAGATTACAAATAGCAATGAACAACCATATTCCTAAAAAGAAAATATCGAAAAAGAAGTATAATAAAGAACCTTTAAGTGTAGAAGCTAGAAGAGTAATAAGGAAAAAAACATAGAGCATGGGAAAAGTATTCAAATAAGAAAGACAATGATAGTTATAGGGAGTATACTAAAGCTAGGAACAAGGCAAAATCAACTGTAATTAGAGAACGTAAAAACCGTGAAAAAGACATTGCTGAATCAGCAAAGACAAATTGTAAAAATTTTTGGTCATATATTAACTCAAAGAGAAAGTCGAAAAGTGGTATTTCTGAACTTCACGATAAAAGAGATGGCAAAACGTTTATTGCAAGCAATGATACTGATAAGGCTGAAATACTTGCCGAATTTTTCACAAGTGTATTCACTAAAGAAGATGATGAGGATGAAACTTTTCTAAAAGATATTAAGTACGATGAATCGTCTAGTGATGAAGTCTTTAAACCAAAAGAAATTAACAAATTACTAAAAAACCTAAATACATCAAAGTCACCAGGGCCTGACCAGGTACATCCTAAAGTTTTATATGAACTTGCAGATATAATCGACATTCCACTTTGTATCATTTTCAATAGTTCATTTTCATCCGGTATTGTACCAGAAGGCTGGAAAATTGGTCAGATAACAGCGTTGTTTAAAAAGGGAGATAAAAAGCTTGCGTCGAACTACAGACCAGTTAGCCTTACAAGTATTATATGTAAGATCATGGAAAAATTAATAAGAAAGAGAACTGTTGACCCTATGAACAAATACGGCCTATTTAGTGATAGACAATTTGGATTTATCGGGGGACGATCAACAGGATTACAACTATTAAAAGTACTAGACCATTGGACTGAAATTCTAGATAATGGAGGATCTATTGACGCTATCTATACTGATTTTATGAAGGCCTTCGACAAGGTTCCAGACCACATAAGCGTTTAATTAACAAGCTAAGATCATATGGAATTAGTAACCAAACATGTAACTGGGTCCAGAGCTTCTTACATGGTAGAAAGCAAAGAGTACAAGTTAATGGAAATTACTCACAGTGGCATAATGTAACTAGTGGCATACCACAAGGGTCAGTTCTCGGACCAATACTGTTTGTTCTTTTTATAAACGATTTACCCTTATGTGTGGACTCTGAGGTATTTATGTTCGCAGACGATGCAAAATTATATAGAGAAATACAAACCCCAAATGATATAGACATAGTTCAACAAGACATAGATAAGCTGTTCAGATGGAGTGAGAAATGGCTGTTACGGTTCCACCCTGATAAATGTAAAGTGCTGCCAATATCCACGAAACAAACGAAGAACCAAGATGGGAGATACAAGATGCCAACATATGATGGTGCAGAAACAACTTTAGAAACTGTGGAATGTGAGAAAGATGTAGGTGTAAACATAGATTCTAAGCTTAAATTTGACAAGCATATACAAACACAGGTTAACAAAGCCAACCAATTAGTAGGACTAATTCGAAGGTCATTTAAGTACTTAGACTACAAGAGTTTCTGTTTACTATTCAAAGCACTAGCTAGACCCCATCTTGAGTATGCCAGCAGTGTTTGGAGTCCATATAAGAAAAAGGATATTGAATCAGTTGAAAACGTACAAAGACGGGCTACAAAAATGCTTCCAAACTTGAAAGATCTATCATACGAAGACAGATTAAAACTCCTGAAATTACCAACACTTAGATGTCGTAGACTACGAGGCGACATGATCGAGACGTACAAGATTCTCAATAACATCTATGATGAAAGGGCATCAAGTGGTATTTTCACATTAAGTAGTGGTTCAACAACAAGAGGGCATTCTTTGAAGTTAGTCAAGAACAGGAGTAGGCTGGATGTTAGAAAGTACTATTTTACCAACAGAGTAGTGGAAGTCTGGAACAGTTTTCCTGAGACAATTGTTACTGCCAAAAACGTTAAAACATTCGAACGAAGACTAGATAAATATTGGAAAGAACATCCTATGATTTATGACTACACAGTAGATTACAACTTCACGATCGGAGGTAGCACAGTAATCAACAGTGATAGTGACAGTGAAATAGAGCCAAATATAGAGGAGCAAGCTGATCTCCTGCGTTTGGAAACACTTAGGTAGACTTAGGTAGGTAGAATTACGATTATGACTTAAAATCCTGACATCTAAGGGGGTCAAATTTGATCGGTAGTGGGGTTGAAAAAACATTGTAAAGAAAAGGTGTAATGATAGCTTTTTAAACAAATCTTTATTGAGCATTATTTAGTTTATAACTTTTTGGAGCATTATTTAGTTTATAACTTTTTGGAGCATTATTTACTTTATAACTTTTAGGAGCATTATTACATTAAAACGATTGTTTAAATAACTAGATTTAAAATTGTGACACCTTAATGGGGATACATTTTACATGGTAAAGATTTAAAATACCACTGCTATGAAAAGAAGCTTTTGATTCCAGATACTTTTCAGAGCACAATTACTTGTTTAAGTAGCTCCAATTAATTTCATGATTTCAAATTCTGACTTAAAAGGGTGAAAGGGTCATTGTAAAAGGGGGAGTGTTTCTGTCACAATACCATGGCTTGTCAAAAGTGTGTAATATTTTTTCCAACATGTATTTGATTTCAGATACTCTTTGGAGCATTATTGTTTGATAAAATTGTTTAAATAGCATTGATGCTGTGACATTTGAGAGGAGAGATAAATTTGCAATGGTAAAATAAAAGGGGGGGGGGGGGGGGGTGGTGGGGGGTGGTGGTAAAAATAACGTCTAAGAAAAAGTGTTATCAATCTTTTCCAACATAGGAATTTCATTTCATTACTTCTTTAAGCATAAACACTAAATAATGTAGGTTAGATCCTTTGATAATGTTACACAGAAACGTTGGATGAGTATTATATGTTGGAACTCGGTGTGACAACCTTTAACCTTTACTTCAAGCAATGCAAGAACCTACTAGGAATTTCTCAATAAACATATTTTACCTTAACTCAGAGTTGAGATTTCCTTGCTTCTTTTATTTCCTATCATCTACCTTAACTCAGAGTTGAGATTTCCTTGCTTCTTTTATTTCCTATCATCAGCATACATTTTTACTAAACAAGTATTTCAAATAAAAGTTGACATATTTTTTGGACCTTACTTTCAATGGATTTATCAAAGTTGGAACATATGTGTCATTTAAATGTAGGTACCAGTGTATATATGTAGTTTGATTCATTTTTAATCATTTTTAGTATGCACATTGTAAATTATGGCAATATTTGTTAGCCATTACAGTATAATTATGGATTTTTAATTGTTATGGTGTCTTTAAGGAAATCATGAGTATAAAAATTTATGCTAATTAAGTATTAAGTCTTATTTTATTTACAATTTTCAGCATATTTATCCCCCCTCCCCCCTCCCAATAAAAAAAAAGGAAAAATAAATTCTTAACCAAAACAAAAATTCTGTCGTAAGCAAATCAAAACAATATGTATTCACGTTCACATACAAATTACAAATTAATACATTTTGGAGATAGAGGCCCTAGATGAAAAATAGTTCAAAAACATACAAAATTTGTAATAGTGCATTAAAATGATCTTCACAAGCACTGAAAATCAATTATATGTAAAAGATGTATGTATGACAATTGTAAAATGTGTGAAATTCATTATTCAAACTCTGTGATTAGAAACTTCCGATTTTGTCCCTTTCAGTGAAAAAATACTGGCAGTCCATTTTCAAATTACTGATGTTGTTTACAATTTTTTTTTAAAAAGGGTAGCTTTTATGTAGGACAAAATAAGTCGCTGCATTCACAAGCAAATTAAGGCTCAATTACAACAGTTGTGTACCTTTTTACATGTTTCTATTAATACAATTGTGTGTTGTGTGAAAAATGGCAATAATTTTGATTGTGTAATTGCAAATATGGTAATAAAGGATTGCAAAGTATGTGGTTATGACATGTGGTTATGAAATGTAAATTCTTTCAAGCTTTCATGCATCCAGAACTGCTTCTTCCATACAGTTTGCATTGACAGTTAACAGAGTCAATCCTACCAAAGAATTGTCTCCCTTTGCAAAAATTTATAAATTTTGAAACATGTTTACAACTTATAACAGGCAGAAGTTTATTTAACATGGTTTGAATCCCAGATATTTATTTCAAGTGAATTATAGTGTGATGTGATGATTTATCAGAATAAATATTGTTTAAACTAACATTGCATCGATACCAATCCAATTGTTTTAAATTTTATTGTGACCAAACTGCAAGAAAATTAAGAACTCCATCATTATAATAACTGCATATTTTTTCTAAAGACACCTGATTTTTAACACTTTCTTGTAGCTCATATAAAAATCCATATATGGATACATCATGTCTTTGTAAATATTGCTTTTTCTCTCCTGGAATCCAGATGGCTGAAACAAATGGTTCTCCACCAATAGAAAAACAGTTAACATACACAGGAGCTAAGTTTTTTCTAGAATTTTTTCCAAGTTCAAAAACAAAGTTTTCCATAGTTATCTGCAACCAGGATACAAAATTTAATTTGTTTTCTTTGTCAAATACAGATGAAACAAATAAATTATCAAGTTTTCCTGCAACTGATTGGGCTCTCATTGTAAAGCCACTATTTTTCATTTTTTTCATTCTAATAAGATGTTTGGCAGCATTTAAGTTTACACAAATCTCTTGCTGTACCTCTTTATAACTTTCTCTTAATCCAATGATATAATAAATGTCATTTTCATAACAATACGACTCCAACATATAAACATATGCATTACATAAATTACAGTCTTGAACCAAATCATGAATATTTCCTATATTTTTGTTGATAAAAACTAGATGCCTGCTCGTTGATTTTTTCCAGATAGCGTTCACACACAGTGAATCTTTATATTCAGTAATGTCCACCTGTGACAAGTAATAACCTGTGAAAGACTTTACATAACTCTGTAAGTTATACAAAGGTAACAATAAATAAACAATTTGCTCCTCTGAATGAACAACATATTCATTATTTGAAAGAGACTTGGTCCATAGTGGTAGATGTAAAATTTTGGACAGCCCATACTTCATAAGTCCATCTAGGTCCATGTCTTTGGCCCAAGTGTTGAAAAACAAGGCCCAGCTTAGTCCAGATTTATGACAATGAACAGTTGTTGATGTTCCTTCCATGGCTCCTGTATGACCCCAACTTAGTCCATTATTTTGAACATCAAGTCCTAACCCATACCACTGGTCTCCCAATTCATAACTTGGCCTTTCAATCATAAGTCTGAAACATTCTTCTGCTACTAATGGTCTATCTCCACTGCAAGAATATATTGAAAAAAATGTTGATATAACAGATTTACATTTTGAAGACAGCCTCTTTAATTTCTAGCAATAAATGCAGTGGGGTGGGGTAAAATGGAATGAGAAGGGGGTAAAGTGCCCACAGAACAATTAGGAGGACCAGACAGTCAAATTTCAGAAAAATGTATTAAAAAAAGATTATGTGTTCATAAGACACAATGTTCTGCTCACACTATCTCATTTCCATGTTCAATATACCACGAAATTTCGGTCAAAACCTTATATTCTAACAATTTTGAATTAAAATGAACATGTGTATTATTATTAAGTTTCAAGTTGATGTGACTACAACTTAAATAGACAGACGAACAGATGTACTAATGGATGACTAGACATATTAATTGACAGACAGAGCATAATGCTGTGATTTGAGCACGAAGATTTCTAACAGAATTTTTTTTTACTATTAATGGAATAAAAAAAATTAAGACATGTATATTCTCTATCATATAGCCTCCAGCATATCCCCTGTTTGATTGGGAATTTGTGTCAACAAGGTAGCCACATGCCTTTCTATTTAAAGAACTAATTCAAATAAAAACATCCGGGTAATATATAACCCAGAGCATGCTCCTGCCACATACTTATTTAAAGTAAAGATTTGTTCCATATGGGAGGGTCCACATTACTAGGGAGAGAATTTAAACCCTTGAAACCTTACGGCTTATTCAGATAATAATCCTCATCCATCACATCCCCTGGATGCTTAAATGAGGTTTGTATTGGTATGACACCATTATTCATACTATTTTTAAAACTTGTTTTTCAAGACTTTATGAATTAAATTTTGTTTCTCCGTTCTAAATTTTTACTGAAGAACATCTTCAAAAACTGGAAATCCTTCAATGAAACTCTAGAGCCTGAGTGCTTAGACAGCTACAATCGTTTGAAAAGTATCACAAGGAATTATGGATATATCTGTCTGCATAAAGGAGTAAAATTGAGTGTAAGATAAGATAGTTTTGATTGTAATTCTTTCACAATACCTGTTAATTTGATTAAATAGCGCCAATAGTTCTACAACAGACATAACTAAACCACCATAGGATTCGGTTCCTTCCATCTTGAATCCACCATACTGAGCTGGCACAGACCCTTCTTCTTCAAACACAGATGGCTCCAATATATTCTCACGGTTGTTAAAATATTTTACCTGTAAATACATTTTAAATTTATTCATCTGCAAATCAAAATCTTATTCAACACATTTGGCATAGTCACAAAATTTCATGCCTAAAATTTTTTCTTTCAGTTATGTCCCTTTGTAAAAAGTATTCAATACTTGTAGAATCTAAAGTGTGTAATATTCATGAATACAATTTCCTATTACGATAGCAATGTTTACAACATGTTAAAAATTTTGTCACACAATAAATGTATTATTAAAGGTGGATCATCAGTATATATTTGCTCAGATTGAATTTTCTTATACTTTGCCAAAATGGAGATTTTGCTATGTTTTTTTAAAAATATAATCAAATGTATGCATCACCATGCTATTTTTCAAGCTACATGTCATCCAAAATTGACCAATTTTGCATAGATTTATATTCATGGACAAACACTTTTTTGTGATTAAAAAGAAATCTATGAGACAGAATTTTGAAAAAAAATATGAGATGAAAGGTTTTATAATGTGCCTTGAGAAAGTAAAAAGGAAAAATTGTGTCACAGAACTTGTTTTTTTGCTGAAAGTAAAAAATGAAAAATTTCACTATCATTCCAGTATGAAAAAAATTATTATAAGAATTATCTCCTCTTATATGGCTATGTTGAAAAATTGAAAAGAACAAAAACACATATTTAATATTTGTTAAAACAGTCTAAATAATGCAACAAATCTTAATTAAAACGAACAGTCTAACACATTAATTGCCAATCTGTCTAAATATTTGCAGATTTAAGCAAATAACTTGACAGATTGTGTATTGCTATTTTAAAATCCAAAATGGTGGTATACAGTTAATTTACCTTAATACATCAATATTGATGAATATTGTCTATGGTAACATGATCATGCAATATATATTTCTTTTATCTCAAATAATATCCATATTTACCAGTGAAATAATTCTATAGAAGAGGGTCTGGATGGGGTTTGCAGAATAAAGGAAAAAATATTATAGCTTGGCCAAAAATAAAGAATAGACAAAAATACACAAACATTATAAAGAATAGACAATAATTGGGTGGTTAAAATAAAAGGATTGGGAAAAATGGCTAAAAAAATTGAAGGCTCTCATCAAGACCCACATAGAAGTCCTTGGAGGATTTTGTTGCTAACCAATATTATTAACAATTTCCTTTGATAATCATGCTAATACTTCTCATAATAATAAGATGTAACATGAAATTCTTTTAGAGGCAATTGATATTAATAACTGTAGAATATAAAAAAGATGCAAGCCATTTATGTTAGCATTAGACACTTATAGTTTTGAAGAATCCATTATATTGCATCATTATAAAACTGTTCATAATCTAATTTGTCATACTTTTAACTGAAATTTTATATTGGATACCATGAAGAGAGAAATATGATGAGTCATTTATAGATGAAACCATCTGGCGTACAAAATGATTAGTCTCCGGTATCTCTGATGAGTTTATTCATATTTTACAAGACACCAGTACCGGTAATACATATAATCAGAATAATTACTAGTTACATGTATCCAGATAAATAAAACAAACTTGATCACCCTGGAAGGTCTCGTCTGCTTTACTAATCATGACTGAATTTATTTTATTTCTTTTAAGATAAGGGTTACTTCAGGTAAATTTCCATTGAACAAATTACATCAGGTTTGTGTAATGATTTTATCATGTGAAAAACACAAAAAGAATTATTACAAAAGGTAAACACAAATTAAACAAAATATAAAAACTTGCCTCCAAAGGATAAGAATCAATCTGTTTAGCATATCCTGGTAGTACATTGAATGATCTACAAATTTCTTGGATATAGTTTATGTATGGCATGCCAGTCACTGCTTCCATCACTTTACCAAGGATCAAGTATCCAAGATTGGAATATGCATGTCTTTTACCTGAAAAAGTATACATATAGATTCTACCACTGTATTTAGTGTTTTACAATATTTCTCCACTCGAGACAGTAAAATTTTCAAATTAAAAATGTGAGACTTGCCGAGCTTTTTAAAAAATTTAAATTTAACTGTTGAGGGTGGAGAAATATGATATTGCACGAGATAGATTCTGGAATCAGCTGTTTCTCTAAAGACTTTAAGATGATATGTAGGCAATCTTTATCTTTCTTTGTTCAATAATCTTTAAAAAAATGTGTTCTTTCAAGGTGACGTAATCAGGCATGGTCGCCTTTTTACATGATGTCACAATATCAAAATCTGAGGTAGGCAAGAAAATTTGAGGTCATAATTGAATCCCAACAATTGAACAATTGAGATCAATCTGACCACACTTGATTACAAAAATATAATCAATCCAGGAATGTATAAATCAGCTTAGAATATGAGAAACAATGTTTAAATACTTCAACTTGTCCTTTGTTGTATCATCTGCCATGAAGCCAGTGCTTTGACAGACGGACCAGATAAATAAGACAAATGATGACAAATATTGAAAAATTACCGGTAAGGTTTTTTATGACAATTTACATGTTTCTGGTGGATTTATATTATTCAACCCTAAATTTTCTGGTATTGTCCTAATGTTTTTATCTTTTTTTAAGTTTTCAAATAATAAAGTAAAGAGGGTTTCTGATGCAGGAATGTAAAGAAAATAAATTACTGGTACTTTACTTGTAATAGATATGCATTTCCCATTTGTTCCAATATCAGAGTCAAAAATGTAAAACCTCTAGTGTTCATAAATATATTAAGGAATAAAAATTACATTAATGAACAAACAATCAACAAATTAAGACAACAACTTAACCCTTCAACAATGTTCCAATAAGTCTTTGAAAATCTAGTGCCCTTCTTCAGTTAAATTAAAATTAACTTATAATGATTACCCACACCAACCTGGAGTTGTTTTTTTATGAATCTGTTACACCGGTTGATCAAAGGTCCATCGGCAGAAACGATGTCATCAAACAATTGATTCTTACTGGGACGTGATAACAAAAGCATTGTGACATAGGAAATATATGAGAAAGTGCACAAATTCGAAAGTCGTCTATTCATAAAGAAAACTAGAAGGCTGTATGGTTACCTATCCAATTACATCCACGTCATATGACACTAATAGGCATTAATGGATTTTTCAATGAGACAACTGTATATTGACCTAAACTTTAAACTGTAAATGTATATACCAGGTGTAAATTGTAATTTCCATGACAACATATATTTAATGAGTGCTTCGTCACTATATGGATCCACCCTCTTTTTCTTAGGCAACTTCCAAAACACAGCATCTCCAACTTGGTCCCTGTCCCATCCACCAGAATGCTGTAGTAAGTGTCTCACAGTTATTTTCAACAGTTTTTTATCACCTTTACCAGAAGGTTTATATTTTTTCAAAATACCATTCTGACCAAAGATCTTCTGGTCCAGTTTCAATTTCCCATCTTCTACTAACTTTAGAATCCCCACTGCCGTGATGGTCTTGCTAATACTTGCTAGTCTAAATAATGATGTTGACAGTGCTTTTAGTCCAGAATTAGCTACACCATATCCTTGTGTGTATATGAGCTTTCCATGGAAACAGATTGCAAGAGACCCACCAGTGATGTCCTGTTGTTGCATGAAGTCTACAATGATCTGGTCTAGTTGGTGAAAACCTTCAGATGTCCACTCGTTTGGAGATATCTGCACTAAAATAATATTTATACGAAAGCTCAAATCAATTGATCTTAGAATACTAAGGAAGGGAGATTTCAAATATACATATATGCTTTCATAAAAAAACCAAATCTATTTTTTAAACTTTTAGTTTGCCGTTACCTTAACAAATACCATAGATTGAATCATTTTTGTGGTTACCAATTTTCATGGATACTTGATTTCATTGTTTTGACAAATTTACAAACATAAAAAGTTTATAAGCCATTAAGGAATAAGGTAAAGGCTCAAATCTGTGGCTCATCTTGACCTTCATCATCCATGAAAATTGGTACCCCACATATAAGAATGAATCAACAGAAAAACCTTTGATTCAAAATAAATACTAGTAGTAGAGGTTGTATTATAGAGCATATTTGGTCAAAAGGAAAAAATATTTGTCCTAAATAGAATTTGGCGTTTATAGCAGACATTTGATAGTCTACGCTTTAATAGTTTCACGCAATCTTTTCAGACTAAGTTTTAGAGCTTGACATATTGTATAAGACACTTATGTCTAATGTTGAAGACCTCATGTTGACCTTTAGATTCCTTTTGGTTCTTTTTACTTGCTATTGAGTTGCTGTCTCATTAACATATAACACAAATTTCTTTTTTAATAAAATCGAATAGGCCTACTCTAAATGACTCTGGAAAAAGATAAAATGAAAAAATATACAAATTCAAAAATCTGTAAAATTGTTACATCCTTTGTTATTATTGGTCTCAAAAATGATATTCTTTCCTGATAATTCTGCTATCAATATAAAAACAAGGAGATGTGGTATGATTGCCAATGAGACAACTATTCACCAGAGTTCAAATGATGTGCTTGTAAGCAACTATAGGTTACTGTATGTCCTTCCACAATGAGCAAAACCAATACCATATAGTCAATTATACAAGGATTATACCTGATTTAACACTATAAGTATGATCCATGTTATCCTATTCTTATCAAGTTGGCATTAATATCTTCAGGTTTGGGATATCATTGGGTCAGCACATAATGGTCTAACTCATAACATAAACAAGACCTGAAAAATAGAAAAGGATGATTTACAGGTAATCCATATCAGAAAATTATGAACATGTAATGTTGTATATATAACCAATGTTCTAAAAATTTTCATATTTCAGGGAAGACTGAAAGCACATATATTTTCAAGGATGATTTGAAATATAAGGAAAATTGTTTCATTAACTACATTTGTTCAGATACATAATAATGAGCATACTGAGATTCAGAAAAATTTAATACTATTGGATCTAACTCCAACTTTTTCATTGGTGTAAATGTGGTCAAATGTCATTCTCTTTTCAACAGTAGAAAAACCCATCAGGCATTACCATGTTATCAAAGGATGAAATTTGAAAAAATAGGCAGGACAGGAGTTTTGAGTAAAAAAAAAAAAGGCAGGATGAGACACTTGCAAAAAAAAAAAAGTCAAGATAAACTTTAAAAAAAAAGACAGGACCGAATAGAGTGAAAAATAAAAAAGCAGGACAGAGATTACAATTAAAAAAAAAATGCAGGACAAAATTTTTCATCCTAGCCCCCCCATAAAAATCAAATGGTAGCTCCCTTATCGCTATTTGTCCGCCATTACTGGACATCACAAAAGTTCCCGTAAATTTTGACGTCACAATAGAAAATAAGTGACGCCACAATGGAAAAGTGATTGTTGTTTGACGTCAATTAAGTTCAAGCAGCACAGATTCTCGGGTCAACCGGCGCAGATTTCCAAATAGCGATGTGTATTATTTGTCTATTCATGTTGCCAGCAAAACTGCATTTGAGACCGTTATTATTCCTTATTCTTCAACCAAAGTAATATTGTATAACTGGAGATTCAAAGGTAGTCTAACTGGTTGAGTTAGGGACGATTTTCTTTGGCTCAATAAATTAGAGCGCTGCCTTAAATGGGTACCATCTTTGTATTTTCACAATAGTACTCCTTCTTTTCTATTAAAGTATGTACAATTTGATTATTGTATTGTTAACTATAGGATCTTCATTTGACATAAACCATATGAATTTTGAATGTTACTAAGGATCTTCATTTGACATAAAGTCATTAAAGAGACTTTTTGTCCTATCATCCAGCTTGTGTCCGTTCCTTCCTGTGACATTAGTATCTGTTTATCCTTAAACTCCACAAGGTTCATCCTCGCATCAGTCTTGGAGTCAAGATTCTTACCGTATAATGACACTCGGTAGACATGGCAGAGTAAGAGAAATGATCGTCCTGGATATTGAACTTTCAATATTTTCCACTGGTTTCTTTCCCTTCCAGTTTTTGTGTACTTTCATCTGTCATAACACTCAAAGGAGCAGAGTAATATTACATTTATACAGAGAACACAAGATTATGGATGGTGATCTTTGATCGTCTATGTGTTGATTTGATAATAACAATAAACCAAGCATTTGTCCATGCAAAATGCTAAAACATGCGAAAAGGGAGACAACAAACACAGTAATCCTATAGAGTGGTAGATGGGAATATTTTTAAGAGCTGGTTTGGCTGTTTTAGTCTATTATAATATTTAACAATTTTATTACTGTATAAATAACTATAGGATCTTCATTTTACATATAAAACAATATAAATATTTTGATTGGACGTGATGATGATATCTAAAGATCTTTAAGCTTATTGATCTAGCTTGTGTAAAAAAAAATGAACTACAATGTAAATTATTTTCACTGAGAAATGAAGATCATATAGTTACAATTTTTAATCTTTGACATTTTAAAGGATTGTATGTAACAAAAAGTGTGACATTTTGTGCATTTCATTTGTTATGTATCTATATTTAGCTTTATTTTACCTGATTAATAGTGCTAATATGTTCAAACATAATTTTTATGTAATAGTAAAACTTTCCTACAAAATCAATTCAGTGTCAAACTACTATAAAGAAGTGGAAATTTACACGTGCAGGTAACATTTGTAGTATTAAAAAAATACACATTGCAGCGCAATCCAATAAACTTAAATCTATGCTTAATGACCTTTTGCTTTCTAAACGGGCTGTTGATGAAAAAAATACATTTTCTAAAAATGTTTGTATGACTTAGGAGAGCCATATCATTAAGTCATAAATTTGGGAGAAATACTTCAACCAGTGATGGTTTTCAGGGGCGGATCCAGCCATTTTTTAAAGGGATGGTTCCCAACCCAGGAGAAAAGGGGGGGGGTCCAACCATATGTCCCCATTCAAATGCATTGATCGTCAAAAAAAAGGGGGTTTCCAACCCAGGAGAAAAGGGGGGGGGGGGGGGGGGGGGGGGGTCCAACCATATGTCCCCATTCAAATGCATTGATCGTCAAAAAAAAGGGGGTTTCCAACCCCTGGACCCCCACCCACCCCTCCCCCCTGATCCGTCACTGGTTTTAAGTTATTCATTTTGGTGAAATTATGAACTATCAAACGATATAAACATTTTTGTGAAATTGGTGAACTATTGAAAAAACAACTTAAAAAGTAATTTTCTCTCAGCAAGAAACAACAATCATTGATGTGCATGTAACTGGTTAATTAAACACAAAATGTGTCAATGTAACATGCATCTAATTTGGTCATGCAGTCTCAGGTACAAAACTTAAAGGGAGCCCAGTCGCCCATGGCTCCTAGATTTTGAGCTGGGCCCCTAAACTTTCTGGTAAATTTCAGTTGAACATGTAGAAACTAATTATGAAATATCTGGTTTGGGCTCCCAGCTTGAAATTCCCAAGTTTAGTCCCTGAACTGTCTTATTTGCAGTTGACAATAAGCTAAACTATTTTATTCAGCAATATTCTTGGCATGATTACAAAGCTGAGACTAGAACAAAAAATAGCATATGAAATTTCAAAATAAAGATCAGTAATATAAATTTGTATGTCATGTATGTAACATTTACAAGAACTTTGTTACAAGAAATATTACATTAAAATGTTAATATTTAAAATAGGCAGACAAATTAAAACTCATAAGATGAAGAGAGACCTGAAGAAAATCATGAAAAAAACAGGATTAAGATATATTTGAAAATCTTTCTTATAAAATGTTTTGCCAACCTTTGGCACATGGCAAATAAAAAAACTGTATATATGAGAAAAAGATTAGATTTAAAATGTATGTCGATTATCGCTCCCCTTTGAGTAAAGGAGAACATCATAAAAATAATAATAAAATGACTGATCTTGTTTGGTTGGAATTTGTCTCACTGCCAGAGGAAATAAAAGTATATCGAATTAATCGAAGGAGACTAGAAAATTGCAAAATCATTAATGTCTATAAATGAAAAGATGATTTCCACTAAAGTTTCTTATTAGGTTTTGAAACCTTATACAGTAATACTGCGACAGGACTTTAACTTACATGTGAAATATTACCCTCTTATAATTGCAGGTAGGGTCGGATGCCTATTATATATATGACAGGTAGGGGCTTATATATTCAAATGAATTTTGAAAAAGCTCATACATTGATTTATGTGTTGTATTTATTTAAGTATTTAACAATATCTACTGCATCTTTCATCTGCTTTCTCTTCCCATTCCCAATTTGGTTGTATTGTTATTACTTCAAACCATTGGATATAAAAAAAAAACATTAGATATCTTCTAAGAAACAATTTCGACATTTAAATGAAATCTTTTACTAATGATACTGGGAAGATCCTCAACTAATTTACAGTTTTTGTGGACAACCCCAAGTAAGAAATGGCCACCACAAAGGAACATAAAAAGAATCATACAAGAAGTACATGCATGCAGGTTCTCAGATACCATCTCGCATATTAAAATCACATCATGCAGAAATGACCTAATGTGTTCCTCTCCTAATTTTGAGTTTTTGTTGCTATTCAAAATCAAAGTTGTGGAACATATTTTATCAGAATCATAGGTAATCCATATATTAGTGTCTCATCCATTACAGTCTTGAACATTAAAACTAAATATGAAATAAAAGACACTGATGATTTTTAGTGTTTGGTACAGGATGGCTGTCACTGTGGAACACAGTTTAACATAGAACCCTATGGGAAAAACGGAGAACTCTTTTTGTTAGAAAACACTGTCAAACATCCAAGCATACTATCCACACTGATCTGTGTCCACACTTGAATAGTTCTTAGAATAAAACCAAAAACGCAGAAAGGGAGAAAAATCATTATTTATGGACAATTTATTATTAATGTTAAGGAGTTGATTTCCAATAAAGTTATCTTAACATATGTGTTGACTATATATATATGGCTGATCTATTTCCACTAACATTTTCTTCAAATCTATAATACTTTGCAAGAAAATAGCCAAAAAACAGTTTACAGTTTATTTATTTATTTATTTATCTATTTATTTAATGACAATTTTTCGCATCTGGGACTTGCATGAATAATACAGTTTCTTGGTCCCAGGTTGTCTATTCCCTTTTTTTTTTTTTTAAATATCAAAGACTAATAGCTAGTTTTATTTTTAAAGAAACCATCATTTTTTGTCGAGCCTTCGAAGTGCAGCAAGGGTGGTTTTGTATGATTTCCCACCAACCCATTATATACAGAATATGTTTATATATTTGAGCACTGTACAGTTTTTGTGAAAACATATTGCTTGTATCATGAAAATGTATTACTTTCATTTTCTTACATAATGATTTTTTATTTTGTAGATCGTCTATGTTCAAAAGTTGGATCTGCAGCAGTCAGTGTGCTTTTTGATGGACATTTAATGTTTAATGTTTTTGCACATATACAGTGGCAAGCTGTTCCTATAAAAAACAAGTGGTTGTTTTTATTGATAAATATTTTATGTTCGGTTTAGTTTGATTAATTAAAAGATAAAGATGATTTCTAAAAATTGAACTCATTCGATAGAGTGGGCAATTTACACCATTGGTGGAGATTTATCCTTTATTGATTGTATTTTCACAGTTTTTGTTTTATACACCTGTATTATTATATAATTAGTAATTGTAGATTGACTGATAAAGTGAAATCTGATTTTTGAACCATATATTTTCTTTTTCTATTGGAAGATTTTATTGAAGCATGAAGAGATAACTGATAAAATGGATTGGAATTTGTCCCACTGCCAGAGGAAAAGATATTGTGGACGTTTGGATGTGTTTTAATAAGTAAGGTCAGTATATAAGTGTATTTATTTTTGATATTTTCTTTTTCTGCAAAAGGATATTAGAAAGTATGAATTTTAGGTTGAAATACCTGCTTTAATATTTCAAAATTTACATGAACATATTAAATGAATATGTTACTTAGTATTTTAACCATGGATCTGAGCAATTAGCTATAAAACATAAACAGTTCTTTATATTTCATGTCAGGAGTATAATTCAACATCATAATTATTACTTTGCAAAAGACATAGACATATAATGCAGTATTATATATGTCAGTCTGGCAAAAACAAAGTTTTGAAAAATTTTGACATATTTTATGTTCCGTTTAGTTTGATTGATTAGAAGATAAAGATGATTCCTAAAAATTGAACTCATTTGATAGAGTGGGCAATTATGTATTATATATGTCAGTCTGGCAAAAACAAAGTTACTCTAAAATGATCAGACATCATTTTGAAAAATTATGACAGAAAAACATATTTTAATTGTGGAAACTGATTCCTATCTGATTTTTAAACATGCAGGGACTAAAAATTGAAAAAAGATGAAACAGTGTCTTAATTAGAAATTCAGTTTTTTTTTAATTTTTAGTACTAATAATTTCATTTGAAAAATCTAAAAAAGTCTTTGCAGAATCTCATTTTCTTATAGCAGTTATACGTGTACCTCAAAAACTGATAAAATAATAAAAAAAAACAAAGCTATTTTTTTTTCTTGGCCAGGTATTTAAATCCTCAAGGTAAAATAATTGGAACTCTTTGATTATACATTTTTGAATTATTCAGTGATCAGGAATGAACGGCATTATTTGCCTTTGTTTAGTAGACATAGCTATTTCATTTCATTTAATTATAAGGAATAATCTAGCTCTTTTCCCTGGTGGATCATTATACCTGCAGGAAAGTGCTGTCTGATAATGGTTAACTCCCCTTTTTTAAATCAATACTTTAAATTGGAATAACAAATATAACAACACGTTTGTTGAATCACGTATTTGTTATTATCAGTGACCAGGGTAGAAAGTAGGACTATAAGATACAAAGCTTGGATTTTTAATTATGTAGGTGAAAGAAAAGGTAATTAATGTTATATTGTTGTAGGAGTATCAGTTATCGTGGTCAGTTTATAATCAATTTATGGACATGTTCATTCTTTCAATGATAATTTATCTGCTTTTGTAAATTGACATTTATATTGAATAAACTAATTAAGGTGAATAAGTGATAAATATTTTGCTGGTGTAAGAATGACATTTGAACAGGGTATCAGCATAGTATTATAGAATGTAGTTTTTACCACGTACCCTAAGTGTACAGTTTTTACCACATTACCTTTTCTTAAAGATAGTTTATCATTCAGTGTGCTTAAATTTGATCATTACAATTATTTTATAACCGTTTAAAAACATGAAAATAGCAGTAAATATATATATTATATTAATTAATGAATGATACATCTGATTTATTATGTCACAAATTATAAATTTGAATTTTGAAAATTGAAATGAATATATGTTAAGATTTTATACAGAATTAGTAGTAGATCTTCTTCTTTTTAGTTTTTTGGGGCGTCTTTCCTGGCGATGAACCTGCGTCCTACTGATTACTTATAGTATGTTGTTTCCCTTAGTGTCGCGTGTTGTGTTGCAGGTGTTCTTAAGTTGTGAGTTTTTTTAAGCATTTAGTGTGTTATAAAGGTTTTTGCTTATTTGTAAACCGTAGCAGATTGTTTAGATATATATGTGAAAGTACTTGATATAATGTAATTCATTGTTGAAGCCAAATAGATATAATGGCTTCAATATTTCAGGTAATAGTAGCAAGTAAAAAAAAAAAAATATAAGGAAAAACATTTATTGATCTGAATGTCCATCACAAAAATGGAGATAAGATAATGCTTCCTGATAGCCCCATGTCAATAATTGATAAAAATAGCCTAAAACTGAATTATAAGTCAAATAGATAAAACATTAAACAAAGTTATTACCGATATTTTTTTACCTTTTGCTGGATAAGCAAAAGTGATATATTTAAAATCCCCATAAATACAAAGAGACCAGTTTGAGTTGTAGCCCCTTGTTAAGGGAAAATTACTGTGGTACTGAATATTTAGACGACTGCCCTCACAATCCAGGGCTCCACTAAATAGACAATCTTGGTAAGTAAATTTTACCCACTTATTGACACAGAGCCTTCAGAAAGAACTACATGTATTACCTTATGGTTCGGACCCAAATATTGTCGTCTTGATGTCAGCGTAATTATTGATTGATTCATTGGTGTTAAACGTCACTTTCAGCACTACAACGCTATTTTGTGGCGGTCAGATTTTTTTGTCGGAGGAAGCCAGAGAGGACTCACAATCTCAGTGTTGACAGGCTAGTGATACATTAGTTTGACTACTTAGACTACTCGGCCACCGAGGCCCTGCATAATTCTAGATAGGGATTACTTTACAATGACACTTATAGGGAAAATGGTATAAAAACACAGATGGAAGAACAGTGTACTTTAGATATGAAACTAAATTCAGAAATTAATGCATGCATTTATTGCTAATCCTTGACCACTTGCAAAATTGAAAAATCTAATTATAAGATTGCAAACTGAAAGGAAAATCACCACTGGAATTACGAATGCAAATTTTTATTATTGAGTACCTGATAGTGTAGCATTTTTTCGCATGAATAAAAAACATCACAATAATTTTTAAACTTACAGTGCTAGCTCAAAGTGAATGAAGTAGAAAACCTTTAAAATAAAATGAAATGTGAATATTTCAATACTTATAATGAAATATATATATATCAGACCTGCCAACTTTCCCAATGCATAGAGGATATCCCCTATGAGAGGTGTTGACCTGATCCTTATAAAACTCAATTATTTAGCCTTAATACTTTAAAAAAGGCATTCAGAGGATATAAACACATTTAAACACATTTATACTCATTCAAAACCATAGATGTTCTAATTAAGTACAGTAATGACATGTATAGGTATTCATTAGGTACTCTTGTGCTTAAAATCCCCCATGGAGATTTTGAAAAGTTGACAGGTATGATATATCTAGATGTACCTATTTGCTTGTGGATGATTGAGAAATGTTTTAATTAGTTAAATTTTTTTTTTTTTAAAGATATGCTATTTCTGTGTTTTTTTACAGGATATGAAAACTTTGTGAAGTGGTAATAGGATGTACAGTTTCATCAAAAGAAATTAACAGACATCGTAATTCAAGTAAGGTAGGTCTTTCATAATATTTTGTACTAGATGGTAGATAGAATAGATAGCTAGTCCTGTCACGGAATAGAAGTTCCTTCATAATATAAGTTCCAAGTGGAAGAAATATTCTGTAATATTGTTTCCATTGGAACAAATATTACAGTATTTGTTCCTTACGGAATAAAGGGTATAGAATATTTGTTCCTAGGCAGAACAAATATACGTTGACAGTCCCCCCTTTTCAAAGAAGATTAGGTTATTTGAAAAATTGTAAAAAACATTTTCTCTTACTTGACTTTAAAAATATTTTAACTTCATACACAGTCTTTATAATATTTGTATATGGCTTTAAAGTGTCTGACAATTTTTGATAGTGTTTAAAATTTTGGAAATTAAATTTCAATTTGACTAATTATGATGATAATACTATTTTGTATACATCTGGCTTTATTGATTTAAATATATTTGAAATAAATAATATATACAGGAAAGAGATTTAATTACAAAACTGTAGTTATTCTCATAATTGAGATGGATGACACAGGAGTGCATGCTCATTTCCCAAATCAAGCTTTTTTTCCCCCAATTGTTTTCCCTTCTTTTTCCTGGATTTCACCTTTTTTACCCCATATATCCCACATCCCCACTTGTTTTACCCCTACATTCAACCTCCTCATTTTTGTTACCCTCTATATCCCTTGCAAATCCCATAAGCCTTGTGGCTCCATTCATAATTTATGAAGGGTTTACTTATACTCATGTTAGCATTTATTAGTTTTGTATGTGCATGCTGAATTTAGTGTTGTATTGTTATTATTGCATGTATATATGTATACCGGATAACACTATATATAAAAAATAACCATACATTGTCTCGAAATATAAATTTTATTTGTACAAGGCTTAGAAACAGGTAGAAAGCGAGGCTGTGGGAATGTATGGTTATTCTTTATATACTGCAACTCCTACAACTGTCTCAAATTAAATATATAGGGTAATTTAAAAACCATCATTTTTGAATTTGGAGCGAACGACGTAAAAATTCTGCAAACCTTTACTGACATTATAAATAAAACTCTACTGAAACGCATTGTCAACGTCATAAACAAGGCAATATATGGTCAGTGACTGTATATCACAAATGATTATACGGTCAATGCAATTTGACTACACAAATAGCACAGCTGCAGTAGGTATATAAGTTGATAAAACTTGTGTCTGATCCTATTTTTATCATTGATTAAACAAAATAATCATAAACTAAACTAACTAAAGGTAAATGTTTTCTTATTTTGTCTTTTTCCCCCGTGCAGCTCTTATCAAATATTTATGAATTTTTATACACTTTGTTGAATTTATCCCTTTAGCCCTGCATGCCATGCAATAAGTTATTTATTTTAAAATAACACATGAAAAATTCAGTAAAGTGTTTCATTGAAAATATACTTGTGAAAATTATCCAGGACAATCAGTCAGAGTTGGCTAGAACATACTGTGGATTCATTTGTAGGATGCCAATTTTTCATGGATTTCGTGTTTAAAGGTGAACAACGAATTTAAATGTTCAATGAAGTACAAATTTTCTATAGGCTTGTATGCAGACTTTACAAAACCATAAAATAAAATATCCATGAAAACACATTGTACCTTTAATCCACAAAAATTGGTACCCACGAAAGTAAATGAATCCACAGATCAATAATCCTTATCTTAAGAGAAGCTAGTAGCCCATCTTTGTGATTTAAACCTCTGAAATTCTGACTTCTTTAAAAAAGATAGGAAAACAAATGAAGATTAAGTGTATTATTTGCAAAGTACATGTCTGATATATAAAAAAAATAAGAAGATGTGGTATGATTGCTAACTCTCCACAAGAGACACAATGCCTGCATGCCCATTAAGTGTCTTTTGATTATTTTCATCATGAGTTGCTGTCTCATTGACATATACCTTACATCTCCTTTATTCATCTGTGTTTTTTAAGCCCCTGCCGCTAGGAAAGAGGGCATTAAGCGTTACCCTTGACCGTCTGTTGTTCCATCCGTCCCAAAAGTATTTTCACATATTATAAGCAAGCTTGAGCGGGGCTTTTGTGTCTTCAAAATAAAAGGTGTAGTGTGGCTTGTATTTGTTTAGGAGTAAAAACCAAAGAGGTCTGAACAGATCAACAAACTTGAATGGAAGTGATAATGCAGATATTCTTATTCAACATAAATTGAGAGATATTGAAGATATCACATTCTCAATACTACTGGTTTTTAAGCACCTCTGAATAGTATATATATATATATATATAAATAAGAAGATGTGGTATGATTTCCAACGAGACAACTCTCCACAAGAGATCAAATTACATAGAAGTTTATAACTATAGGTCACTGTTTGTTTGACAATCAGACATACATCTTAATAGTAGATTATTAAAGGTACTAGCTTCATCGCTGGTCGATTGCTTTTCCTAATAAATGTTGAACCCTGTGTCCTAATTTTGCACTTTAAGAGTGTTTATTATCAAATATTTATACAAATTAACAGGCTGCTTTATTATTAGGTATAACATCCGTGTTTCTAATATCATACATTTAATCAGAATATTATACAGCATGTTATAAAGGGAATTTAAATGCAAAAATCGATCAACTGGGTTGTAAAATGTAAAAATATGTTGTTACTAAATTCCAGTTAGAAAATAACAAATTAAACTTTATAAATATGCTAATATATTACTTTTTTATCTGATTAGTAAACTTATTAATCATGAACATATACCTTTGATAATAAAAATTACAGAAAAACCTTTTAATCCTTAATCTAAATATGATATATGTAACTAGCAACGAGATTTTCCGACATTGTTTAAAATCAGCTTTTTGCATATTTATCCAGTCCATACTGAAACAAAACACTTTGCCATGTTACGATGACCTAGTTGTTGTAATAACAATGAAATGAGTCTTTTTGAATATCGGCATAATGATAAGTTGTATTTGATGACAACATTTTATTATGGAAGGCACTTATTCATAAAATCAAAATTATTGTAATTTATTGGCGCTTAGTAATCTTCAACAGTGTATTTGAATACAAATTTAAAAATGAATTAAATATGCTACAACACAAACAGTTCTTTGTTCAATTTCAGAAAATTTAATTTAAATTTGTTGTAATAAAATTTGTCTGAGAGAGCTTTTAAATTTAAAAAAAAAAGTTGTCTTTTAACTTAGAATTATGATGCATGTCTCTGGACCACATAGCATGCGAAGCGTAACAGTTTATATGAAGTAGTTCATAAAATGAAATCTCATTAGGATAAGGTAGATTTATTAGGATATATTTTTGGTTCCATTTATAAAAATCTATAGAGCAGAGAATTTTGATTTTTTATCCATTTATTTTTATAATGAATCAGTTTATTTAAAATATCAAATATGTTTATACATGTATTTTAACTGTACATTATCTCAAAATATACAATGAATTTAATTTAGTACAATTAAGGCTTTATAGAAATAGATCTAGTTTGAGGCAGCTGTGCTGAGCATTTTTGTCCTATTTCGAGCTGAATACAAATGAAATTTATGTCTCGAAATAATGTATGGTTGGTCTTTTTATACTGCAACTCTTAAAACTGTTCCAAAGAAATATTTTGAGTAAAAATCAACAATTATGAATTTGAAGCAGACAACATAAAAATGCTGCAAACCTGCATAATCTTTCACAAGGTTATGGATAAATTCTACAGAAAATCAACATCACAAACAAGACTTTATATGGTCAGTGACTGTATGAAGCCAACATTTATATGGTCAATTCATTTAGACTGCACAAAATTAGTACAGACATCAGTATACTGAAAATGTCAAGGGAAGTAACTTAGAATTGATATAAGTTTTAATTTCTTTTCTGTGTGTAAGCATTTTAAAAAATATTCCCAAACCCCCTTTTTTCATGTACATGTACCAGATAATAAAAATGTTGTGTACCTATATATTTATCTGTTTATTTTTTGTTTTAAAACTGAAAGTTAAATAACAATACCAAAAATATGTATATATAAATGAAATTCATTGAAATCAATATCTATAGCTGCGGAACCATAGCTCTTAGGTCCTTATGATTTTTTTTACAATTTGTGGACCATAGATCTGCAAATTGTTAAAAAATATCATGAGGACCTAAGAGCTACGGCTCCGCAGCTATGAAATCATGGGGTTAAAAGAAGGAATTACTATTTTACTGTTAAATCTATATTGTCATATTTTGATTTTGTTTTTAATTTGCAGATTATGGGTAACTTTGGTGGCCATGCTTTACCAGGATCTTTCTTCATTGTTTTTTCATTATGGTGGACAATACAGATGTTTAATAGATATTACACATCCCTACGCAAAAATACACAATTCACATCTACTCCTACATACCCATGTACTTGTCTATGTGGCCGATTCAAAGATTTTCCTATTGAATCCATAGGCAAAATATTATTAGTTGTTGTTGGATTTTCCCTAGAAATATATACTGGATACAATTTCTCTGTGCATAAATTCACCACTCCAGGAAATGCCCAGCATGCTACAATGTTTTTCTTTTTTGGAATGAGTGGAGTGATAGATTTCCTTGTATATTTAAAAGCACCTATACCTAAAGATTTGGATTATGTTATAGTGCTAATAGCTTTAAGTGTTGAAGCTTTATTATTTCATTTCCATCTTCATGGACGAAATGAACTGAATGTACAACTACATACGTTACTTATATACACAATTGTCTTCAATTTGATCGGGGTGATTTTAGAAATGAAATATCGTCATAAAGTTCTAGCAGCGCTTTCTCGAGCCTTTTTCTTTCTTGTTCAAGGGACTTGGTTTTGGCAAATAGGTTTTATATTATACAATCCAAATCCATATGCGGAAAAATGGAAGCCAGATGATCATGTGGAATTCACTTTTGTGACCATGTACTTCACATGGCATTGTGGGATAAATTTTTTAATAATGTTCGCAATAGGCAGTTGTGTAGCTTTTTATCAAAAGAGATTTCATACAAACAGAGAAGATGATATATGTATGAAGAGATTGATTCATACTGGAACCAATGGGCAAACATTAATTTCAATGGGAGACAGTGAAGATAGTGATATAGAGTACCAGAAACCAGTTATCAGATGATACCTGTATAAATAATTTATATAAAATCAGTTATGCGTTGGGCAGATTTGTCCACTGTCATCATATCCACATAGTCCATAGTCATTATATTCACATAATCCTCACAGATGAGAAGCTTGTAGATATATTCTATTATTATTATTTTCATTTATATTTTCAACTATTATATAGAGCATGCAGGACTTCTCATGTCAATGTTACAAGGCTGCATCGGTCAAAGCTGACAATTTATGTCTCATTTTTAAGTCCTATTGGAAAATTAGTCACATTCTTGTATTCTACTATAAATTTCCAATTATTTGTAGGAACTTAGTGCAATTTTTCTATTGGGTATTGCAAAATATTATTTCTTTTATATATGAAGTAATAATAGGTATGTATATATACATTTGTACAAACATTTTTCCATCCTATTTATTTGTAATTATTCAGAAGTTTTTATATTATGTTTTTATTATATATACAAACATTTTTCCATGCTTTTTATTTTTTTTTTATTCAAAATTTATAAACATTTACATATGAACAGATTTTTGTTATATTTAAATTAAATGTCATATTCCTTGATATCGTATGATTTTGATTTTATTGACCAAACTTCATGTTATCATATTCTGTGGCAGTCAAAATTAGTCCTCCTTTTGCACACACCCTTATGTCTTTCTATGTTCATTTTATATCATCTATTATGTTCACAGAACTTGTTTACTTGCTACAATAAAAAAATGATAATTCACTATACATTCCTTTATTTAATTAGAATATCTGAGTTATCTCCCCTTACATGGCTAAATTGAAAAATATTAAATCTAAAAATTAAATATTATGTCTTTCAAACTTTTGTAAAAACAGTCTTATTTATAAGATAAAATGCATAACTTTCCTCTCCTTCGTTTAGATGAGAAGTCTATCAAATGAATTGCATTCTTCTCTCAAAATTTGCATATTTCATTTAAGATCTAGTTGATTATTTTCTGTTATTTTACAATTCAAGATGGTAGAAGAACCAAAATTTTGTATACATATGCATCTTAGAGAGTCCTTAGTGTCAGGTACCATTTGATGATTCAGTAATTTATAGGGCTCCAGTAGGGTACCCCCTTAGGTCACCAGGTCACATTTTAAAATTGCCTCAGGTCACGAGATCACTTTTAGGTAAGTAAATTTGAAAGCAAACAGCAATCCACGTAACAAATTTTAAAGGTCACATGTCCTTCTAAATGAGAAGTCATGTTGCAAGGCCTACTGCCAAACCCTCCAAGGTCGCAGACAATGGTAAAATGTTTTGAAACTTTAGGACCAGAAGCACATTATCCTTGTTTCTTATGTTTCTTGTTAAAGAAGATTTTTATACAAACAAGTTGACTCTTGCAACAATTCTTTGAGGGGTTCATGGGTGGCCTGTTGCAAGGCAAAATTTCTGTTCATGTCAATATACCCTCATTTCCCAGTGGTAGTCCAAATTTCCCTGACCTTCATTCTGGAAGCCCTCTATTACAGGACCTACCTATTGTATATATTGTTAATTAGTTCTTGTCCTGAACATGCATGAACTATTTGTCACTGTACATTAAACAAACAGCAATTAATCAATTTACAAAAGTTTCAGCAACAACAATATCTGAAAAATAATAGAAATTTAGAAACACACACTTAGAATAAATCCAAAAAAAATTGAAGTGGAAAATTTTTTCTATGGTTTATAACCTGCAGTGACCTTAAAGTTTGCTTGATTTATATTTCTGTTTGTATTGCTATTGATCGACTTAGTACTACTTAATTGTCGTTTGATTTATAGTACCATTTAGTATGTGATAGATATTAAAGTATATTTTTATTAAAATGTTAAACTATTTATAAGGCTTAGTCCACATTTAATTGCCTGTATTGTTTTATAGGAATATTTTTATACACCATACATCCTTGGAAGAAAAGAGATATTTTGGTACATACATTTTATAGTCTGTTAGTTTGCTATGATCACTTTTGGTTGCAAATTTTAAAATATACAGTAAGATTTCACAAAGACATGCTACTTTTTTTTAAAATCTTTTATAGATTTTAATTTTGTACAAATATTACTAAGTTACAGTACTGAGTGTATTTAATTAAATGTGAATTTCCAGCTAAAATAGCTTGAACAATCCTTGAATTTATTTACACAATGATCCATGGTGAAAAGCTTTTCAATGATTTGTATGATTTTGCATGTCTTTTGTAAGACTTTGTCCATTGTGTAACACATGTTTTTCCATGAGTCTTTTTGAAAACTGTCCATCAGCTGCTTAATCTGCTAGGTAATATTTTCTTAACCAGGCAAATTTGTTTGATTGTGGAGTTTTATGCCACTTTCAGCACTTTTATATAGTGGAGACCAGTTTTTATTGATGGAGGAAGATGTAGTGCCCCAAAGAAAACCATTTAACTTTGGCAGTAAAAATGCAATCCTAAACAGTTAAGATTGGAATCCAACGCTCCTGTCATGTGGGGGAATTGAACTCACAACCTCAGTGTTGACAGGCTTGTGATACAGTAGATGAAATATTAGACCTATTGGTCACCAAGGCCCCTACAGGCAAAAAAAGAAACTTGTCTTTTATATGTATCTAGTGTCCACAACAATGGCGAAAGGTGTGATACCAATTTCATCAAAATTGGTGAAAATCTTAAATCCTATCAAAGTAATGTCAATTTTATTGGTGAAAAAGTAGGAAAAAATGGTGTGGTGACTTTAGTACAGAAATGTTATTTGTGATTTGTCCATGGCATCATGAATGTATTAGAATTTATATATAATTGTCCAAAATACATCATATAAAGTAAAGTTTATAGACAAAAATATAATTAGCAGCCTTAGATAACCAAAAAGATAGTAGATTTATATCAACATCTTCAAATAAGACAACTTTTTGACAATCAAATCTTTCACTTTACTCCATAAGATTTGTTTTTGGCTAATACAAGTGACAAACAAATCTTAAAGCTCTACCTCAAAGTGATAAATTGGATTTTAATCATATTCGTTTGTTTGGAAAGGGGTGGGGCTCTATAGGTGCTAACGCTGTTGCTCATTTCTGAATATTAATAGGATCCCATAATGAGTCAAATTTTAGTTTTGTAGTATTGACCTTAATCAAAAGAAGTTTCACTTAAATCAATCAAAACAAGAAATAATCTATCAAATTGAATCAGTAATGCTGATACATGTACCTGACAGAATAATGTCATGTGAACATCAGATGTTTATTTTTTAATAGATTTTTTAGAATTTTATTATTTTGGAATTAAATGGGCCAAAACAAAATCCCCTTATCTCCTTTCAGTATTTATTCTCTGGGATAAACAATTTCTTGTCAGCTATATAAATTGAAGGACAATCCATATTTTAGCTACTTTGAATTGTCTAAAGCTATTAATCTATTAAAGTGTTGTCTATTTGTACATGGCTGTGTCTGTTTGTACAACTGTCTTTTTGTTGCATTAGTCATGTATTTATCCTTAGAATTCATATCTTTTATACCCCATATAATGAAGTTAATTTAATTTCTTCTATCTGTTATGTACAAAAACAAAATGTTCTTCAATTTGACCTCATGAATACATTACCATAAATGGATAAAGTGGTAACAAATAAAACATACAAAATTCTTTATATAGTGTGATGGGGTAGTGGCAATTAACAGTTTTTAAAACTTGCAAATAATAAAAAATTCATAATTGTGTGATATATGTTTTGCATTTGAAAAAAAAGAGTATTTTGTAATATTAGTGAAAGGAAGTGCAGTTTACCGAAACGTAAGTTTTAAAAATCATAATAATCACCTTTAAGCATATCAGAGGGTCTGGATGGGGGGTCTTTCATTTCTTTATTCTTTTATTTATTTAGGTCATTTTTCTCTATGCTTCATATTTTTTTTTACCTGTTATTCTATCTTCTTTATATTTCAACACCTCATTATTCTTTATTCTTTTATTTTTCTACATTCTTTATTACTTTGGCCCATTATTATTTATTGTGCAAATCCCATCCAGACCCTCATATCAGTTATATATATGTTATTAGTGTTAATGTTGTTTTTGATAACCAAGACTGTATGTTATACATATACATATATATATTCCCACAATATTCCATGTTGGTACAAATGTTTATAGTGGTAATTTTAAAATGTTAAAATAAAACAATCCAAATACTTTGGTTTCATTTTGTTACAGATTGCAACAGCAGGCTAATACATTAGAGAAATATTTTGCATTTTGAATGTATTGTCAAGTTATGCATCACCAGATGCGGATCCAGGATTTTGATAAAGGGGGGGGGGGGGGTAAAAGTTTGTCAACTCTGGTAATCGGGGGCGGATTTGAGAGGAGGTTGGGGGGGGGGGGGGGGAGGGTTTGTCTTCCAAACTAGACAAAATTTGTAGTGGAACAAGTAAATAATCTGGATTAACCTTAAATAATGCTCCATAAAGGGGGGGGGGGGGCACCCTGCCCCCTCCAAATCCACCCCTGATCACCAGAGTTGACAAACTTTTACTTTGCACTACACAATCACAGATTGGTCATTGGTGTCATAAAAAGTTAAAAAATAAACATAATTAATATCCTATAAATGAAAATAAGACCATATAAAATTTGTGAGTCAGAAGCACTTTTCCAGATTTATCTTCATCTGGAACGCTCAAACCCAAATATTTGAAAGCCATGGATGTATAAATATGTAGAGAGGATCGTAGCTATATTAAAAATTGATCTGTAAATTCAGTAATTGTTGTGTACATTTATTATTGTGATTTTGTAAGAATGGACAAAAGTGCGAGATTAATTATTGCGATTTCAGGAAATTTGCATACAAATATTTGTATCATATAACAGAATGCAAGTTTTTATAATTGGGATACTTACCCAGTCGCATTATTTGCATTAATAAAACCCTTGCAATAATTTCTGAATTTACAGTAAATAAAGAATTAATGTATTTTGGTTGTAAAAAAGAAGTCACAAGGGTCTTTTTTAGCAGAATATATATACCTGTATGAAGGTATGGGTTTTACTCATTGTTGAAGCTGTACAGTGACTTATTGTTTCATTTGGACTCTAGTGGATAGTTGTCTCATTGGCAATCATACCAAATCTCCTTATTTTCATAGTTATCAGTAGACTGGTCCCAAGCATAAAAGAGGCTTGTCATCAAAATCTAGTATATTTATGTCTGGTACAATGCAACAGTATCATGTTCGCAATAATGACTAGAGATGTCCACATAGCCAGACTAATACCCTACATGTTTTGAAATTTTTTGTTTTCAGCCATTCATTTTATATATATCATTGCCTCTGTGTTAGTTGTCACACGGTTACTGATAGGTCAATCTGGCAGAATTATACTGACCAAGGAACAAAGTCTGATATGTGTAAATTTTGTAGGTGGTGTGGCCTTAAAAGAACAAAAAAATATATTTCTCTGATTTTAGAATTATTCCCTTTTCCCACTGTTTTCATTGTTTTAAATAAACTTTTAATTTGAAAAAAAAAGTAAAGGTGTAAAAGTGAACGAGATGCAGCCTGAATGTGAATGAGACAGCAACCCAATAAGAACTAGAGGATCCTAGGAGCCTGAATAAATCATCTGGCAAAATATGTCATTCTAATATTTATGTATAAATATACAGAATATTTTTTTTATTTACTTCAACCTAAAGGTAATCCCCCTCTTTCAAATCAAATACTGTAGATTCATTTATTTTGATGGGTACCAATTTTCATGGATTGACGCAAAATGGCATTTTCGTGGATATTCGATTTCATGGTTTGACCAGTCTGCATATAATCCTATAGAAATTTGTACTTTGTTGAATATTTTGATTTGTGGTTCACCTATTCCCCAGGAAATCCATGGAAATTGGTATTCCATGAATTAAATGAATCCATAGTAGCCCATCTCTATAAGCAGTCACCACAATATTAATGAAGGGTTTTTAGATCTCAATTTTTCTATTTACAGTTTTTAATATTTCTATATCCATTATAGTTTTTACAATAATTATACGTTAAAACTCAAAAAGTTGAATTTGAAGTCTTGTATGGACGGAATTACAAAAAATGTATAAAAGACCTTGGGGGACAATCATATCAAGTTTTATATAAATGGTTGGTTCAGTAGTCTCAAAGAAGATCTTTGATTTATGAATGACAGATGCCAATTGATAGCAATAAGTGATACTGGCAGTTCAGATGGGCAAAAATACATTCACAAAATGTATAATAGACCTTGGGGGTCAATCATATCAAGTTTTATATAAATTGGTTCAGTAGTCTCAAAGAAGATCTTTGAAAATATTTATGAATGACAGATGCCAAGTGATAGCAAAAAGTGATACTGGCAGTTCAGATGGGCAAAAATACATTCACAAAATGTATAATAGACCTTGGGGGTCAATCATATCAAGTTTTGTATAAATTGGTTCAGTAGTCTCAAAGAAGATCTTTGAAAATATTTATGAATGACAGATGCCAAGTGATAGCAAAAAGTGATACTGGCAGTTCAGATGGGCAAAAATGCATTCACAAAATGTATAATAGTCCTTGGGGGTCAATCATATCAAGTTTTATATAAATTGGTTCAGTAGTCTCAAAGAAGAGCTTTGAAAATATTTATGAATGACATATGCCAAGTGATAGCAATAAGTGATACTGGCAGTTCAGATGGGCAAAAATGCATTTACAAAATGTATAATAGACCATGGGGGTCAATCATATCAAGTTTGATATACATTGGTTCAGTAGTCTCAAAAAAGATCTTTGAAAATATTTATGAATGACAGATGCCAAGTGATAGTAGAAAGAGATACTGGCAGTTCAGATGGGCAAAAATACATTCACAAAATATATGGCAAATCTTCATTGACCTTTGTATAGAAAAAACTGTGAATTAAATCAACTGAAACAATCAAATATCCAATTAACATCAAAATTTGAAATAGATAAAACAATTAAGAGACAATGATGTTCACTGACAAGATTTCTGACTTTAGAAATGCTTGCAATAGAAGCATAAGTTCAGGTTATGTTTGACCTTTATGCACTAAACCCAATCTATAATCTGAATCAATGAAATGAAAATCAGTGTATTTAAAAATGCTTAATATTAATCAGTTTTGTTAAAATAAGCATTCCCTAATATTGATATTTGTGACTTAAATTACTGGTAAGCCAAATGATTGGGGGTACCTTGGTAATCCAAAATTGGATTTATTGCATATTTATCATTAATACACTGAGAGGAGAAACACTGTCAAATTATTTTATTTTATGTCTAAAAATGACAATATATATATATATATATTATATTTTATTCAGGAGGCTCAGGAATATAATCCCTCAGCCAGGAAATTAGTTATGTTACATTATATATCTTGTCTTGAGACCTAAATTACACATATATAATGGATTACCACTTCTTTAAATGTATTTTCCAGGACCAGGTATTTGTAGAACATTCACCATTCAGTGTAGATTTTCAGAACATGTTTCTCTGTATTTTGTATCCCTTCACTTAAAATGCACTTGTTTTCATCTTGACAAACAGATTTTTTTATTAGAATAAAATTGAGAATGGAAATGGGGAATATGTCAAAGAGACAACAACCCGACCAAAGAGCAGACAACAGCCGAAGGCCACCAATGGGTCTTCAATGCAAGAAAATTCCGCACCCGGAGGTTCTCCTCAGCTGGCCCCTAAATAAAATTGTGTGCTAGTTCAGTAAAAATGAACATCACACTAAACTCCATCACACTAAACTAGAAATATTTTTGCAATAAAGTATTTAGGTTTCAAATGCAGAGTTTGTATATAGGTGACTTTTATGCTTTTTGTTCAACAGAAACATTGATAAACCCAATCTGATGTTTAGCCGTATATAAGTGAAAGATTTTGTAATTTGAAGTGAAAATAATTTTCTTGTGTATGCAGTTCAGTTGCCTTCCAAAACGACCAACCCAACTCCTGAATAACTTATTTCATTTTGCAGTATTTATTTAACAATTTAAACTTGTACCGTCTTGTTTGAAACTAGTCAGACTATGAATCTTCACCAGGAGGTGCTGTAAACTGTGTTTTTTTTTCATTGCTTATCATAATTCTTTTTGCCATTAACTTAGTATTTGGTGAGAAAATGGTGTGATTTTAAATAAAAAGTGTATGATTAAAAGGATATACTCATCATTTTTTTCCCTTTGTGAGCCGCTGACTTTCTTTTACTTTATGTAGATTAAGACTATGTCACATAGTAAGGTTCGTTATGATGACAATATTAAGGTTCCAATTGAGGAAAAAACGTCATATACACCCCAGCAGTTTGACATCTCTGTGTAGTTATCCAATCGCAAAACTCGACACATTTGTAATCCGTAATATATTCATTTTGTTTTATTTACTTATCAACTCATTCTTATCCTTCTTTAGAAACTGTAATTTGTACTTTATAGTTGTTATAAAGTTAGTATAAAATTTGTCTGTTAAAATTACTCTATTTTATCCCAAATCATAGGATTAATCAAATCATGCATGACTTTCCCATATATATCATGTGAAGCATAACTAGATCTGTATCCCTGTATATTCATTTGTTATGGTGAATGAATTTAAGTTTAATGCACCAAATTACATAAAAATTTTCATGAGAATACAAAATAAGCGTTATATTGAAAGATAAAGAAAATGCCCTTAAAATATTTAAAAATACAGAAATAGTATTGTACTCATTATACCCAATTCTTTAATTTTCCAGTTATTCTTTTTACCTTTGCACTCCATGATTCTCTATTCTTTATATATTTTGCTCATTTTTCTTTATTCATTATTTATTTTGGCCATTATTTTTTCTTTATTCATTATCTATTTTGGTCATTATTCTCTATTCTGTAAACCCCGTCTAGACCCTCATATATAATTAAGGAGTTAATTCTCCTAATAATATATAGATATAAGAAGATGTGGTAGGAGTGCCAATGAGACAACTCTCCATCCAAGTCAAAATTAATAAAAGTAAACCATTATCGGTCAAAGTACAGTCTTCAACACGGAGCCTTGGCTCACACCGAAAAGCAAGCTATAAAGGGCCCCAAAAATTACTAGTGTAAAACCATTCAAACGGGAAAACCAACGGTCTAATCTATATTAAAACGAGAAACAAG